TCAGTTTGTTTTTCATGCTCTTCAAAAATCTTCCTACACGTAGGGCCATACTCCGCAGCTTTCCTCCTTTTATCTTCGTCTTTGACCTGCGCGATCATCAAGTCAACTTTATGCTTCATTTCGTCCAGACTTACACCCGATTCTTTTAACTTCTTCAATTCGTCTGCCTTTTCATCACCAACTACGTATCTAAACAAATCGCGACAGGCTTCGCGCAGAAACTTGCCTGCTTCTGACTTTGATTCTGTGTCATTCAGTTCTTCGTAGTACATGTATATTTTTTCACGAATATCGATTTTCGATTTGTTTTCTTCTTTCATCTTCCGCAACTCGTTTCTCTGTTCGTCAGTCAGCCACTTCAAATGACCTTTGAAATAATCCTCCAACGAATGCTCATAGTGTGCGGCTGCAAAAATTTTCCTACAACCCGCTCCGTAAAGTTTTATTTTCTCTCGTTTTTGCACATCCGTGATCCCTTCAAGAATCGCGTCAACTTTAGCTTTCAAATCGTACACACCTGCTCCAGCATCCTTCATTTTCTTCAAGTCGTTGTAATGTTCTTCCCCAACGACATCTTTTAGCACTTCTCGACACCCATCAAGTAATAATTCAGTGGCGTGTGCTTTTTCTCCGTCATTTAATGCATCGTAATACCGCATTATCTTGTCCTGCATGTCGGCTTTTGTTTTCCCATCTTCCTTCATTTTTTTAATTTCTTCTTTCTGTGCGTCCGCAAGCCAGCTTAGATGCGTTTTAAAGTAGTCATCCAGAGTGTGCTGCCCCTGCTCATCTCTTCTTCTCCGAAATGGCACATCAACGCCGAAGATTTTACCACACACTGCTCCGTACACCTCAATTTTCGCTTTCACCGTTTTGTCTGTGTTTTCATCCAGCATTATTTCCATCTCAGTTTTTATCTCCTCCAAAGTGGCACCGGCATTCCGCATTCTCGTCAGAACAGTAGCTCTTTTGTTACCAACAATGTCCCCCACCAGTTCTCGGCAAACTTCCTGTAGATATTCCGCAAAACCAAGCTTTTCTTCTCGGCGAAGTTCTTCAAAATACTGGAAGATTTTCTCCTGAATCATAAATTTTGTTTGACCTTCTTCCTTCATTCTTTTAATCTCGGCTTTCTGCTCATCCGTAAGCCACTTGAGATGAGTTTCGAAGTAACTTTCCAAAGTATGCTGCTGATGCTCGTGAGGTTTGTCACGTTTGACGCGTGCTTGCACTGTAACTCCATACACAGTGCGACAAACCGGAGCGTAAACCCGGAACTGTTCCTTATGTTTTTCATCG